ATTAATCCTTCCACGACCGCGGACTCGCCAACGTGTCTATTAACAATAGATTTCTTATAATTTTAATTAATTTCTTAGAAATATACCTGGACGTGTTCATATAATATGTATAGCGAAAATGTAAATATTTTATTTTAGCGTAGAAAAATACATTATAAAACAATACAATATTCAGCGGTTTGGAGCTCTCGACGCGAAAATCAAATTCTCACTTGCTCGGTGTTTATATTTAACAATTAGAGCAAAAATGTATAAATATGTTCTTTTGAAAATCATTTGAGCCATCAAATTATAAGGAACTACATAAAGTCAAAGAGTTTTTTTCTTTTTTAGTAATTTGAACACGGGCGACACCGCGGGTAGTGCTAACACCTCCAGGTAAATTTCTAAGAAATTAATTTAAAATTCTAAGAAGTCGTGGAGTAGGACTAGTATTGTATAAATAGAATCTATTAACCAATTCTAACCTAACTATTCTTTATTTAAGCCATAATATTAAATTCAAACTATCTAACAGATTCAATATTATTAGTACCTTGTGTGAGGTTAAACCTGGTATTCCAAGGCATTTATAAAGGCTGAAGCATTTCGCAGGCAATTACAGAAGCAATAATTGAATTCCTGCTTATGATATTGACAGGCCTTACTTGGTCATATACACGGGATTCTTTAGGTGAAAATGCAACAAAGTGGACTACTCCTAACTAAATAGGATATGAAAGCATATGTGTAGGTAAAAAAAGTGTTTTTTTTGTACAAAATCTATTTCAATTCAATTCTTTTGTAAATATAGTTTTTATTTTAATTAAGAAATTTCAGAGGTATAAGAAATGACATGGTATTGCATTTATAAAATAATTTTGAAGTAAAAAATGAAGCTATAAATTATAGCTTCATTTTTTTTTATTATTAGTTAGAAATATTATACCTTTTATCATTTCAGACTTTAATTAAGTTTTATTCAAAAGTCCGCTAAATAAGGCAGTATAATAATAATGATCCAGATGACAGGTGACGAGGCCCCAGGTGTGGTTTATGACTCGATAGAAATAAGCTTTGAATATAAAATTTACTATGAAGATAAGCAATACCAAGTTCTAAAAATAATATAGAATTTCATATTTTAGGCATAAGATATTTAAATATTAAATTTTATTCGTAAAATATTTAAAAATAATAGTATAAAACTTATATTGAAAACTTTATATACTATTAGTAGGTACATACATTTGTAAAATATTTGACAGTAACGATTAACATAAGTCATTTTTCGTCTTTAAAACTATCTTCTAGCTTCTGCGTGAACAGAAAAACAAAAGACACTATCGCATTTATAATGAGTTTTAATTATCACAGAAGTAATAATTTTATATATTACGTACATATACATTTTAAAGCATGTATATTATTTAAGTTGACGTTTGTTCCGCTATGTTCTAGAGGAAAATTCATACAATATTCCGTTTGCCGCCACGGTATTAACAATGTAACGTGCCGTATGAGCTGTAATTGGCCCACTTTAATAACGTCCATGGAGGGAATACAAGTGCAACAACATATTCACCTTTGTTCTATAGGTATATTAAACAGATAGAACTACTTTAAAGCTTGCTAGTACCTAATATATATATATATATATATATATATATATATATATATATATATATATATATATACATAGGTATATCAATGTCTAACACTTAATAAAAGTTCTTAGTTGTTTAATGATAGATTCACAGTGATAGAATATGTTAAAAGTGAACTCTAAGATGAACTTAGTATACTTGTGGAAAGCTTCCCGATGGAAGCTCCAAACTAATTTAATACAAATGAAATATTCATCTTTCGGCACCGAAATTACGGTCACCGTCATTTCCTGTGTTGATCATTTGAATATAAAATAATACCGTCTTAATATTTTAGTTTTTTTACGAAGCAACGCAATCAATACTGAAAATCATAGTTCAGGTTTCTTCGTTGAAATGATCGATCATATGGTAGAGCATTTACTAAATAATGCATGAGTGCAAGTTAGCGATGCTAGGTTTGCCAATAATATTAATTAGTTTTCACATACATTAATTAAACTAAAACATAATAATTTGATTTAATTTTTAAAAGTTGTTATTGTTTGCTACGTTCTTATATCTTCCTGTATATCTGTACAGTGCAAAATTTGTAATACGTTTTTAACATGCTCTTATTATAAGCTTTACTTACAATAATGTAATATGACAGTAACAATATAGCCAAGAAATGGAATTCCCTGCCTGCGTCTGTTGTTCCGAGTGCGTACAACCTGAAACTATTTAAGGTGCGTGTCAACAGGCTTCTCTTGGGCAAACTCGCTAGATCATAGACCTTATCTATGCCTTCGAGCTAAAATGAAGGTCAAGAGTAAGCCCATTTTTATAATAAAAAAAAATAGTAATTCAATACCATCGTACTGATTCATTATGGTATCTGAAGGATAGTGAATTTTTGAGTCCTCAATTTTTACGAGTCCCATATTATGTAAACAATTGATCAACAGTTTGTTTATTTTTAGTTTTTTTAGACTATTATTTATTTTTTTAAAGTTGCTATCGGCAAGTACTTAATGAAACTTAATTTTGGCGTATAGTGGGTATATGTAACGTTTAAGACGGTATAAGACGGTATTAGTATTTAGTAATTGAAGCTAAGTTAATGATGATGATGACGATGTCCTCCCTACCGATATCGGCATTCAATCTTATTGAGACTTGCCAACTGCACAGGAGACATTATAGTGCACAAGTGTACGCGCAGACACCAGTGCACTCATTATTCCTTTTATTCTCTAATTCCGATGGGACGACAATTCGATCGGTGAGAGATCAGGCGTAGGACCGACAAAACGTGTTGTCCGAGACACGGAGTTAAAACACCGCCTACTTTCCAACTCTGGGCTGTTACTGGGACTTTCTTGACAGAAAGACTCAATAAATAAACTTGGCCCCACCCCGGGACTCGAACCTAGTCACTACACGACCGAGGCAGCAACTTAATAAGTAAGATAAAATTAGAATCTCCTCAGTTTATGAATAAATGCTTCATTTATAAACAAAAGCTTCTAAATAATTATTTATTAGTGGCTTTATAAAGTTAACTGTTAACTGAGATATAGGTATACTAAAAGATGAGGCAATATTCGGTTATCCCCTTTACGAGAGAATTAATTTCACGATTAACTGGTCAACTTTGCAATAACAAACTGTTCACTTAATAATAATCCTTTGAGGGTTGAAAATTATAACAACATGGTATTAAGCACACCCAAATAAGTATAAAAGTCAATATAACAGCATTGAATTATACACACATATTTAATAACCTACATTATTAAAAAAAAAAAAATTTTTATTGTTTTAATTTTTGAATAATAGAAAAGAATGTTTTTAATATCTAACGTATTTCAGTATACATGTTCAATTAAAACGATATTTTGCAATGTCTTTGAAATTCACAATAAAGTGCTTATTTTTGATATTTTCTGCTCTTTGCTCTTTGACGTATTACAACACAGTTAATGAGCAAAACGTGTAATTCTTCAACTTCACAGGATTTCATAATTTAGAAATCGTAATAACTGAAAACAAATACAATGAAAAACAAGTTCTAGCCGCAAGCAAACATAATTTGGTAAAATTCATTTTACATTTTAGTATGAGTGGGTTCTTCAGATAGATATATATTTGGTTAAGGAAATTATTAATTGGGTGATTAACCGGGCGAGTTCCCAACAAACTGCTTTAATTGTAAACACCCTCGAAAATCATTCTGATAAATGGGTAGCCGCAATATTCAGGACGATAATATTCGGATATATTTTGCAATCTCAGTAAAATTTGCTACCGTAGCCGATCAAGATGACATGTCTAACTAGAATCGATTTATCTACAATTAAATAAATTCAATAAAACTTGAGCGAAACCGAGCGGGCGGGCGGACGCTAATAACTATAATGGTAATATTCGTGACATCCATCGTCCCTAATATTCCACGGAAAGACAAGAGGCCTCTTAAGATATATTCATTTCATTTTAATAGGATATCTATATAGGTATACAAACCACGAGTTCACTTAATTTCAAACTCCATAGCGTTATGTTTCAATGATATCAAATTTTAGCTGCGGTTAAACTTGTGAAGCAAATATATATTATTTAAGGTGAAATAAGAAATTATAATATTATTGTACATATTGTAAATTGGTCTCTGATTTTAATTTTTTTATAAAATTTACATTATATTTTATGATAATAACGAAAGTAGAAAGCCAATGACTTTTTATGATTTTTGTTTATATTAACAAAATTGAATATTTTTTCCGTTAGTTACAATTTTTCCAGTGACAGCGACAAACTGAGCTACTTTCGCATTTCTAATATTAGCATATACAGTATAAATAATATGTACCGTATGAATAGATACCTAGGTAACTATATAATAATTATGTAATTGCTCGAAATTGCTCCTATAGTGTTAAAACAATAATGAAATGGATCCTCACTAATTAGAACTAACTGAGTATGTGTTGTATTGATGCTTGAATCAATTTACCGTAAAGCCTTACTATTTACTTAAGAGTACGGATTAAACATATTAATATCTCATTAAAGTAGAGATTTTAGGTTATTTTAAAATTATAATAGGTATTTTCTTCTATTATATGTTTTTATATAAAGTCGGCAAAAACTCAATATTTGCTCTTATAAAGTAGCTAATATTTTTGTTTATAAAATTACAAAAATATTGTTGTTATTATACATGATTATATATAAATGTAAGTCCCACATATTTATATCTACAGTCTGAAGAAATAAATAGCTACTTTCTTTACTTAAAAATGTGTTTTTGTTTTGTGTTTAAATGATTTAAATGGAAAGTTTAATCTAGTATAGTATTATATGATATGTGGCTTAATATTGCAAGCTTAGTTGTTCTTATTTCTAGTGTAACTATAATTATAAACTTACTGAGTGCGATATTCGCTTGCTTGTTCCTATCGAGCTGCCCCCGTAAAGCTCGTAACCTTCGAAGCTTTTGCTCCTGCGCTTCAACGCGTTCCCGCAGCCTCCGCAACCTTTCACCCTCTACCGCAACCTGGTGTTAAGGAAATATATTCTTTATTTCTTTATATTACATAAATATTTATAGCGAATATATTAGAAAAAGTTGAAGGAAAAGGTGATATTTTCTTTAAAAGAAATCTCTTCCAGTCAATCTGAAAAAAATTTGGCACCTAGTCTAGCGTAGCAGAAACGTGAAATAGATGAAAGAAGATTATTGTATGTTGTTGAATTCAGCCCTTTTTAACGTCCCACTGCTGGGCACAGGCCTCCTTTCAATACGAGAGGGATGAGGCCATAGTCTACCACGCTGGCCAAGTGCGGGTTGGCGGTCTTCACATGTCTTTCGAAAACTTGCTAGGTTCTCTCAGACATGCAGGTTTCCTCACGATGTTTTCCTTCATCATAAGGCAAGTGGTAATTATGTTAAAAATAATTCGCACATGAAAATATCAGAGGTACGAGACCCGGGATTTGAACCCGCTTCACTTCATTATCCAAACGAGCGCGTTACCACTGGGCTACCACTGCCCAAAGAAGAATTACATTTATATAAACAAAATACAGTCACGGCTTACTTATAATGCTAGTCAAATAATGAGACACTATATTAAAGGGAAACTTACAAGATTTTACAAATTCACATACGTATATTTCAAAACTCCTTTGGGAATGTCAAAATAACTGCGATATAGGAAAAAGCTATTTGAACATTCCGATTTTTATTATTCTTCGAGGTACAATTTCCTATGGGCCTCTTCTCTCCGCCCATACACAAAGCGTTATCGATTTATTTCTTATTTAATTATGGGTGAATGGAACGAACGTAACCTGTATTTGGAAAATTTAAATACAAATGCGTCCTAAAAAGACTTGTCAAAATACGAGGCTACTATAATACATGCGAAAGTTTGTACGAGTGTGTGTTTGTGTGTAAGTTTGTTACGTCCTCAAGCTATAAATTCTAAGCGACTGCACCGATTTGGATGTTTGGATGTTTTATCTATATGTAAGATAGGCCTTGAGTAACACGTAGGTTGTAGGATAGTAAACAAAATACCAAACGCGTTAGCTGTATAATAATTTCAAAGGCAGGGACGCAATCGAGCGAAGCGAGGGTAAGTCACTAGTATCTTATTAATAAACATTTTTTACATACAAAACATCAACTTTAAAATATTTTACTCAGCATTAAATTATTACATTTTCTTACTGAACGTCACGAGTCTACTACTAGTTCGGAAAGAAGAAACCTCAGAGCTGAGAAGAACTGGCGCAAGAAACTCATCGGGATTAACAAACAATCTTTTTAATTAATATTTTACTGAAGCCGAAAGTCAAAATGAAATAATATTTAGCTCTGTTTTCAAAAGTTACTTTGTGCTAAACTGAGATAATTTTGTTTATGTTTCACTTGTATTTGGTGAGAAGAGTTTATTTTAGGAACGATAAATATCGCATTAAGCTAACGCCGTCCAGCTCCGAGTTATGAGATTTATTAAGGACCATTGAAAATTATTTTCCCTTTGGCATTATTTAATAGAAATAAACGAGACATTTCTGTTAAATTGTTTGTGTTTATTCAAAAAGATTACAGAAAGTGACATAATGGCTGTAAACTTTATTATTTAAAACTATTATAATTAGTAATTAGCATATTAAACAATAAAAGCTTAAACAAAATACGTTAAGTTTGTAATGAGCTTACTAACTTTAGTATGAACTTGCAAATGTAGAACTTTTAAATGGAGCCAAGTTAAAGCCTTTTAATAAATATCGAGTTTCAAAAAGGACATTTTACTGTAAACAAACTTTAGTTTAATTTATTACAGGCTTGAATTTTCTACCAATCAATTGAAGTATCGTTGAAATGGATTTAGTGGTTTCACTTATTAGTATAAATAGACAGAGTAAAAATACTTTAGTGCTTGTTCGTTTATATAGGCTCAATATAGGGTCGCTATTTTTAAATCATAGACAGTCATTTTAATTGTACGAGTAATTATAATATAGAATAATGCCCTCCAAACCGATTTTGGCTCTGGTCGGGCCAATCTCACAGAGATTTAACTGTGCAAGAAGAAGAAGAAAATTGAATTGAGAGAGAACTGTGTAAGAAACATTACATATAGTGAACAAGTAGGAACTCTAGTTCTTTCCTTTTCAAACACCGGTGGGACGACGATTTAGCATAACTCAACCGGTGAGATATCAGGTGCGTGACCGACGGCTTTACGTGCGCTCTGAGGTGCGGAGTAAACCACCGCCAACTACCCAACACAATGAGAATTTCTTGACAAAAACCACATATCTATTTTGGGCCTGATCCGGGATCCTAACCCAATAACCCACGCTAGCCATAAAACACACAAAGCCCTAGTTTCCCTTGAAAAATCTCAGTACTTAGATCTAATAAGGATTAAAATATCTCTTAGGACACCATAATTCATAACCTGTTATTAATATAATAAAATCAAATAATAAATCTAAATATAACAGACAGTTAGATGTAGTAAGTTCTTACTGTGCGGATCAAAATAATAATCTTTCAAATTAATATTCTTCAATGTAAATGTATGTAGTAATAGTGTTGCTTATCATTTTGATTCTGATAATGATGATGAGAAATCTTAAACCTTAATTTCTTCCGCGACCATGATTGCAGTAAAGCATTCGAACCGTCGGGAACCAAAAATCAAAATAAATTCGCCTCAAAATCTGAAAAGATAGTTTTATTTAAAATGTCAAATATTCACGTAAATCTAAGAAAGTATTATAGGACACTCTATTGTTAATAGGTATTATTTATTAATTTAAGTCTCCTCTATCCATTCATACCAGTTTCATCGTGATTGAGAAATTGCGGCGGATACTAATGACAGCTTCCATAGAAAAATATTGTTACGTTATAAAAATGTTACGTATATAAAAAACCACGAAGAATAAAATGTGTAGTTGTAATATAAATAAAATAAATATGATAAATATGTAGAAATATATAAAAATGAATAAAGATGACAAATAAAAGATTTTATTTATAATATAAATAAATAAAATTAAAGTACTGCTCGTTACTAAACGCATAACTTGAGAGCTGCTGGATCGATTTGCAGTTGTAATGTTTTTAATTTGTAGTATTAGTCTGAATAAGGCTTTTAGAGGGGGAAATAAAAAAATGGGAAAAACTGAAGTACTTTTTTCTGTAAGATTGGTATATAAAAACTTAACAATCATAAAATATTTTTTGAAATTTGAGCAAAACAACATTTTTAGGTATATATTATATATGTAAGTATATAGCCATCTACTATTTAATAATTGTGCTGCCAAAATCTAACCGTTTATAGGGTAAAAAATGTGATAAACTGTCAATAATTAACTAAAATGTCAACTTAAGGTATAGAAAAACCTACATAATAATATTATTTTATCACAAAGTGAATATTTTTTACTCTCGAAATCTCTTTCTCGAATGATGAACCAAGAAAGCCAATTAAGGAAGATAACAATTCATTTCAAAAATATAAAACAAACTTTAGAATCCATTCAACATGAAAAAGACCTTACACCGTTCAAAGTAAGTCGCAATTTCTCTCATTCCAAGCTCTCTTTAGTATACTATAAGAGCGTCATTTATAAATTATTATTTAGCGAAACTTTTCATCATCTAAGAAACCATTTTTGTCTCGACCCTTACTAAACATAAGGTTTCAATGCCAGAATTACGAAATAATTTATTATATAATTTCAAAACATATTTCTCCTCATATCATTCGTAGCTCTACCAAAGCCATTTTTTTAACATAATATAAAATAACATTACTCTGTATGCAGGTATCATATTTTTACAAGTAGCAAACTACACTATTTTGGACATCATTTATGCATGCTACGAATGTAAAAATGAAAAAGTCGACAATATTATTCAGAACAGCATTTCACAATGTTAGAGAAAAATTGTTTATGAAAGAAAAATAAAGATCTTTCTTTCAGCCGACTCTCGTTTTGTCACAAAAAAGGTAATAGAAATAAGAAACGTGTTCGTTAAATTATAATTATAACTATTCACGCCTTAATGAACTATAAAATATTAATTTTAATTCAATTCTTGTATATTCTTGTATTATATAAATACAATATGAGACTGTCTCATTGTAATAGTCACTAACAAAATAGCCGCAAAGAATGCGTCATAAGTAAGAGTTATTAAATGTCTATGATTTCATCTATACATATAATAAAATTGTAACTAAGCCGAATCTGTACATAAAATATTTTTTGGAAAATCTTATTGAAATAGACATTATTATCAATACAGAAACCGAATCTATACTTTTTAGAATGTTTGTCTGTCTGTCTGTGACAGCATCACGGAAAAACCAGTGGAGGGATTCTGATGAAATTGGTATGATGATAGCTGGTTATCCGGGTCAAATATAGGATACTTCTTACTGGGGGAAAATATCTCATTTCTGACAAATCTATACTAAACGTTAACTAAATGCGTAGATAACATCTCATTCTATAAAAAACAAAACTTGTTATGAAATGATAAAATCGTTATTTTATAGAATCGTAATAAATCTCATTTTATGCAATATTATATTCATGCTATACCAAATAATTATTTTTAATCTGCGACTCAGCAAATTCATCTCGCTTATTTTTATTTCATTAAACTTGATAACAGCTTTTGACGTTTCATTAAAGTTGTAAATGTGTATATGACTACGTAATGAGGAGCACAATTAAATTTAAGCGTGTGAACACTTTTTCAGTGAAATAGATCTTATTTAAATTCAAGTTTCATGTTACGCTAGAAAATTCAGATTTTTATTTTGATGTAATTTTTGCTGCAACACAGGAATTAAGATTTCAAATGTGAGTTGGAATAAATGGCTTTAAATAGAAAAAAGAGCTGAAATATCCATTAAATAGTTTTTAAGAGTTTAAATATATTTTATTAATTACATGTTATTCATATAAAAATCATAATACTAGCAAATAGCAATATTACTATGCACAACTATTTCATATTATTTAATAATATTAATAAATAACAGCTATTATAAAAAAAACATAAAATATGTTTTAAGCATAAGTTACTAATATTAATAAATTAACGAGTCTCAGGGTCTCAGATATAAAATAAATTATTAGATAGGTAGTATAAATATCATGAAGCCGGAAACCTAAACGGTCGGTTATATTTAAGTCATGGCAAAGAGCGAAATAATCCTATCAACAATGAATAAAATTGAAGCGAAGGACTACGGTCTAAAAGCATAAGTTAAGATGATCCGCCGTTTATGAGAAGTTCCGACGGGTCCTTTGGCGGTAGATAAGTATATTATAATCCTACATTTATTATAAGATTAATATTAATACAGTTTAATGCATCTTAAAGTTAACAAATTTAGGTTACGTAACCCTAGTTTTCTGTATAGTTATTGTAGTTGAAATTCAGCTCAGCATTGAGAGAGGATATTTTATTATATTATGTAAATGCGCAAATTGGTACGATATGCTCGTGACCTCTAACAAGTGTAACTCAAGACCAAATTATATTTTGAACTTAGTTATTTTACTTATTCATACAAGCCGACAGTAACAAACATAAGTATAAAAAAGCTTCCACAGGCACGTGCACATAATCTGATTTGAATGATATTGAAACTGCGAAAATATGAAATTGAAGCCAATATTAAAGGTTACAGGTCGCATCTGTCATAATGAAAACCTTCGCTATATGAAGCCACACCTTACTTGAAATTTCATTGTTTTTATTCAGTTCAAAGGAACATGTAAGTAATTTAATTTTTTCTCTTTTTATGTTAAAACTACAAAAATATTGTTAAATATTTCATTTATTTTTCGATGTGATTGATTTCTCTTTGATTAAAATAAAGTTGAATTTATTAGTTTTATCTAAGAATGTAGGTATATTCTGTAGTTTGTAATTTGTATAAAATGTATTTAATTGTGTGCACGAATCTGTGTTGATAATATAACAAACTTGATTTGCTTGAAATACTTTAGTGAAACTAACTCTCTCTCTAAAAGTCTCTGAATAACCACTGTCATTTAGCACAAAAAACACTATAAAATAGCATTAATATTAAATATTCATTGCAAAGCTTCAAAGAATATTCATGGACAAAAATTGGCGATATATCTCGCCATTTTTCATTCTATGTAGACATGCTTTAAATATATAAGGAGAACACTTGAAAATATTTCGAGCATTGTGAAGTTTAGTAGAAACAAAACGGTTTAACAGACATATGTAGCCTTACATTATTTAGAGATCTGACCTGATGTTGCCGCGCCTCTTGTTGCTTCAGATATCGCAGTCTCTGTTCCTTCGCGCAGAGTAGCTGGTGTTGTGTGTCTATTTGCTGCTGCTGTCGGAGCGCCATCGCCCGCAGTTCGCCCAGCGTCAACTCCACCCCTTCCCCCAACTATGGACAAATAATATTATAATTATTACCATATTATTTTAATAATTTATGTACGCGTTACTAGAGAACGGTTGAGCCGATTTTGCATTTTTTTTCAAATGTTCACAATAGCCTGAATAAGCTTTTCAACGACAAAAATCTTCGAAAATTTGCATTTGGAAAAAATGGTTTTGGGAAAAATGAAACTAAAAATAAATGAGATGAGAACATCTTTTATAGGGTAGTATGTAATTAAAATATGTTTTATTTTATATAAGTGACTTTTATTAATATCACTCTCATGAATTACTTAGATATTAATGTAACTATAGTTATATGTTACTAGCGGCACACTCACTTCGCTCGGATTTGTCACTAGATACATTTTAAATAGATATAAATAGTTATTAGCCAGCGTTAGCCATATAATTTTTTTGTTCGTGAATTTGTCCGATGTTTTAATACTCATTGTCCTATTCCGGACTAAGAGAAATCCAAAAAATCTAATATCGTAAAAATTGGTCTAGCCGTTCTTGAGTTATAAATGGTGTAACTAACACGACTTTGTAGTATTTATATATTTAACAGTAAAGAGTATACATTAGTTAAGAAGAAATAAAGCATTCAAAACGGTAACAAGTGTAAATAATTCATTGCAATGCTAATATAGCTAATGACATACAAAAGCTTTACAAACTTTATCTCACAAACATTACGTAGAAAATGTCTTCCCTTAATATTTCTTATTGGGTGGAAAATATTTGGCTCTTAGAAGTTTAGGGTAGCGAGCTTATATATAGCATTAAATATTTATATTTTATAGACTTTGAGTGTTGACACTTTTATTAGCTGATAATATTATTTCGATGGTGGAATTACACCACATACTTCTAAGTAATAAATATAAGGTACATATTACAATAATCCATACTAATATTATAGTAATTCTGTCTGTATGTCTGTCTGTTTGTTACATTTTCACGCTTCATAGTCACGCTTTCGTGATTAAGATAAAATTTTGTATGAAGATGGTTTGAGACTTTGGGATGGACGTAGGATAGTATTTTTTGGGAGGTTAACCCGAATTATACTCGTACAATATAGAAGAAATTTATGAACTTCAAGTATCATTTTTATGCTTCATATTAAAAATATTACTTTTGTTAACTTTATTAAAATTATTTAAAAAATGAGTAGTTCTAAATTCTCAACCGTATTATGTCTATGGTTCTTCATAGTTCGTTGAAGCGGATTACTGGAAGCTAGAATATGAGTGCATCTCTGCGATAGCTGATGTAAGCTAGCTTAACCTGCTGTGATTTTAATACATTGTTGAAATGTGCGGTGTTTTGAATTAGTTGTGAATTTGTATTTCGCTATGAAAACTTATTTTATATTTATAGCAAATTCTATTTGTATACTAAGATTTATTTAAAAACCTAAGCTACAACTTTTCACTTAAAATGTACACTGACTTCAAAATCAAATATTTAATTATTAAATTATTTAACGTACTTAATTATTATTTGCAATTTTATGCTGATGGTACCCGTTATATTCTATAATAATAACTATTATAAACATAAAAATTAAGAAGTTTACCGACGATATGTCTTGCTTAATTTTTTCCACAATAATTCGCTGACTTTAGTAAGGCAGTATTAAAAACTTTATTTTGTCTGAACCAGGCAAAAAAAACCGTGAACTGTTGTATTTTGACGACACGTTTGGCTCAGTTTGGAGTGACGCTACTTGCTTCGCTAGCGGTTGCGGGTTCGAGTCCCGCTAATATACGAATATTTGTACTCCGGTTATGGGTGTTTATATTTATAATATGTAGGTATTTAAAGTTTATATATGTGCAGTGTATCAACTATCTGGTATTCATAACACAAGCATCGTCGCTTACCATGGAACTAGATGGTGCTGTATATTAATGTCCCAAAATATACAAAATATAAATATATTGTAATCTGAGCCGCGAAAGTCGCGAACTTTCGCATAGTAAGTAGGATCCGTACTCAGTAACATATCACTTTTTAAGTTTTAATGATACCAATTTACTATTTATAAGTAGGAATAAGTTATTCGTGACGAGGTTGAATGAAACCAAAAGACTTTTACATAGCAACTCATAAAAGTTGGAAAGAAGGAACTAAGGCGGAAACCTTGTAATATAAGCCCTGAGATAGAAATATAATGCAGACCCTCTTCAATTTTGAAATACCAAAACTAGATTTCCGACTAGTAGGTAAACTGCGCAGTATTGACAGGAATGTGTATTTCAAGTTAACAAAATAACGGTTGCACAAACCTCGACATACAATTTAAAAAACAAAGCTCTACCTATTCTTGTATAGCAAACGACTACAACAGTTTACAATAGCAAAAATGAATGAGGTTTTTCGGTAGCATAATATACTAGTAAAACAATTTTATATATTTCTAGATAAATTTTCTAGATAAAAATAATAATAGAATATTATGGCCATTTAAAAAAAAAGTTAAAATTGAAAAGTGTAGAAAGATTATTCGCTTCAAATGTGTTACCTAATCATTAGTGGTGAAAGGGTTCTAGTAGCGTCTGGGTGTGCAGATCACTTCGGTAAAATTACTGAAATGTAGCCAGCTTTAACTTCGTAAGCGTCGGGAGATGTATGAAGCAAGTTGTTTGATACTTTGCTGATAGAGTGTACCTTGAGAGCAACCTTATTATAGACGGTGAAAAGGAAAACTCCATTTAAAAATTCCTACCTATCCGTTGGGCAAACCTAGAAGATGTATGGTCGAAGCAACAGCCCTTTTAGCTTGCAAGGAATATTGGTTGGATTCAACGAACAAATTTTTCATTAAAAAGTATAATACAGTCTCATTTTAAAATATTGGTTAATTTTATTTCCACCCATCCTTTGGCAACTTTTTGTAACTAATTATTTTTCTATGGGAACCAGTTAATTGGGATAAACAATTTCCTTTCCTTTGTCTTCTCAGAAGCAATATATATGCAAATAAGTTGCTCCATTGCTGCATGAAAAGAAGAAACATGCATATTTTCCCACAAACATACATACTTACGCATCTATATAAATAAAAATGAAACGCTTTTTGTTTGTAAACGCATCACTTGAGAACGGCTGGACTGATTGGGCTAAATAATTTTCTAAAATGTTCATTGGAATTCGAATGAGTTTTTAAAAGTTTGGAGGAAAAAATTAGAAAAGTTTGGCAGATACTAGATTTCTGTATGAACTCAAAGATCACAAACAACATCCTTCGGGTCATATTAGGAAAATCTATACTTGTCCTTATTGTATGACTAACATCTACAATTAATATTAATTTTGTCAGGTGAGTTCAATCTACCTGACGGGATAAGTCGATATTCAAAATGTAAATCTTGACACTTGTTGATAGCACTCGTCCGGTTAACGTAGCGGTGAGGACACAATTCCAATATGTGAAAGGTTTTGGGCCTTCGACAAATTTATTACAAACTCAAAAATATATAAGAAATATAACTATTTTTTAGAAACTTTCATATACTTTATTAGAGATTATCCATAGATATACATCTATACAGATAAATAAAATTTAAGTGTCTGTTTGTAATGTCAAAATAACAGCTTTTTACTAAATGCATATGGATGTATACACGGCATTTATACCAAAACAACATTTTTTACAATTTTTGTCTGTCTCTCGTTTGTTCCGGCTAATGTCAGAAATGGCTGGACCGATTTTGACGGGACTTTTACTGGCAAATAGCTGATGTAAAGAAGGAGTAACTTAGGCCACTTTTATTTTAGAAAAAAATAGGGTCCCACGAAAAAAATTAAAACCAATGAAAAATTTAATAATATCCGATTCAAATAGAGAAGTTGTTTAATATTTCCTTAAGATATAAGATACCGCTTTAAAATGTTGTAGTGATATCACGATTTAACTATATTTAACAGTTTAATTAATCCAATGTTTATTTTTGATATTATAATTCAAAATGTTTCCGTAGACAGATATTTCATTAAACTACCAATTATATATTTATGCATGTATGAAGGTGCTCAAAATAATTGTATTAAATATAATACTAAATTTCAATTTCCGTATTGTATACTTTTCTATGACTGAAAAACATTATGTGAATAATTTTTTCTACATATGAGTGTTTTACAACAACAACATAATAAAAGAACATTCTTATGTATTGTTACAACAACAACATAATAAATGCAACAAATATATTCGTATACATATCACAACATTTTTCCATGTTTACAGGTATAAAGGAAATAGGTTAACGACAAAATAATGCAGACGCAATGTGACATTTGAATTACAGTTATATATGCAACAATATTTTGCATGTCAAAGCAACGGTGATGCAGACTTATCGGGACAATCTATGCAGCTCTTTGCAAAAGGAAACTTCTTATGTTCCCTAAAATTTTATTTATTTTGTAACTTTATGCTCATTCCATTTTTAATATTTAATTTTCCTCGTTAAAGCGAGACAATTATCGTCGCAATCACGAATAGTGATATAATTTAATTAATATCCATACTTCCATACTAATATTATAAATGTGAAAGTGTGTTTGTTTGTTAGTTTGTTTGTTTTTCTTTTACGTCTAAACGGAGTGACGCATTGGCATTATTTTTGTGTGTAGATAGTTGGAGGACTGGAGAGTGACATAGGCTACTTTTTATCACGGGAAATTATCTAATTCCCACGGGAATACACGTTATAATAGAGTCCAAAAAATATTTATGATCATAATTACTTGAAACTCGGTATTTATGCTCTTGTAAAAAATTAAATAAACGAATGTTTTAGTATTTTTCGAAATTCATCCTATAAGGGGAAAGAAAGGGGATGAAAGTGTATGAAACTACCTTTTTAGAGATTTTTGTAGTTTTAGCGCGAGCGACGCCGCGGGCTCTGCTAGTATAATAATAATTAATAGAATCGGACAGTAACTATGTCTTTTTGTTAGCTTCTTTTATAAAACCGCTTAATATAT